TACCCAATGGCCCCATAGTAGTTCCTTTTTGGGATTGCCCAGAAAGGATCCTACAGATAAGCCACCAAAAAGGAACTACTATGGGGCCTGTGGGTATAAGGGCTTTAGGAGGGCTCGGTCAGGGTTGATAGGACTAGAGGAGATACCTTTAGGCCCCATCGTAGTTCCTTTTTGTGGCTTATCCTTAGGATCCTACTAGGTAAACCCAAGAAAGGAACTACTATGGGGCCTATGGAGCGCTGAGGAGTACACAATCTCATGATTTTCAGGCCTAAGTCATGGCCTGCGAGTCATGTAGCACAGTGCCTTTAGCTGCCTAAATACGCCTTATACATGAGATGCACGTCGGAAGGCTCCTAATCTTATGGCCTGAAGACCTAAAACATAGAAGGCTCAGGCTTAGGTTTAGGATTTAAGGGTTTAGGGCTTAGGGGTTTACGTTTCAAGGCTTGGGGTCTTGCCGCCCTCCCCGGTCCCCACCTTCTATCACGGTGCCGGCTTCGGCGAGAACTGCTGAATGCAGAAATGCGCATGCTGAGCGACAGCCTGCTCTTCCAACATGCCCTTATCCTCCACAAACCCACTTAGAACCCTAAACCCTAAACCCCTAAACCCTAAACCCCCCCAACCCTAAACCCTAAACCCTAAAACCTCCATTTCTGTCGATCCTTGAAGTTGGAAGGAAACATGGGCACCTTAAGCTCACATGGGTTTAGGGTTTAGGGTTTTCTGACCCTCCAGCCTGAACCCCTTTTCTCCCCTGAGCCCTTATCCCTGAAAACCTCATCCCCTCGACCCTGAGCTCTAAACCTTAAACCCTAGCCTCTTAGACCCTGCACCCGAAATCCTAACCCCCTAGACCCTAAACCCGACAACTAGGTTTTAGGCTTTAAGGTTTTTAGGGTTTAGAGTTGAGGATCTGATCTGAATTGGTTTCCCAAGGCCGCTCCCCTTTTTGCTCCCGGGTCCATCGCTTGGGCCGGCCAGCAGCCGACTGGAGTCCTGCACCGGAGTTGCCCTACAAGCCATAATTCCTCATGCTTTACAAACAGCATACTTGGTATAGATGTAGCTTAAATTGTTTGTGGGGGGGGGAGGGGGTATATGATGAATGGGAAGGTGGACTGAATCATAAAGCCTTGCAGTACAGCCGCGTAAAAAGCTGCAGTTGGTTTTGAGAGCATGTCCTCGGGCCCATAAGTCCAAAGCTCTCTACACCTCAAAGCCAGCACCCTAAACCCCTGAACTCTCGACCTTAAATCTTGAATCCCTAAAACTTATATAATCCCTTACTAATCCCGGAATTCTCGAAGGCCCAGAAACCCCTCAAACCTTCAACCCTAACCCTGAACCCTATAAACCCTAAACCCAGTCCTTAGCCCCAAAGCCTCTAGAACCCCCCAAAACGACAAATAACATGAACCCTCTAGCCTTTCCTCCCCAACCGCCGGCTTCTGTGTGCCTTCTTCTAATTGCTCCATGACTTGGGTCTGCTATGGGTGCGAAGGACCCATGAACCACGAGCTTCTATAGACAGTTTCTACAGGTTTGATCGGGTGTTGACGGGTTTCTAGGGTCGCTCAGTTGCTTGGGTTTAGGAAAGTAGAGATGTAGGTTCGTATTTCGGACAGAACCTGATTCTTTCGCAAGTACATGCACACATACGTATATGTACACACAGACTGTACATAGGTCCGTATGTTGTAATTACACGAAACACAAAATATACTTGTAAACATAAATGCAGGTGTGCACGTGTGTTCATCTGTATATCAACTTGAACATATATATATATATATATCAGGATAATTGTTATCCATAACATATGTATGTATGTATGTATGTATGTATGTATGTATGTATGTATGTATGCATGCATGTATGTATGTATGTATGTATGTATGTGTGTATATATATATATATGCATGTATGTGTGTGTGTGATTTGTGTACACATGTGTTCGCATTCAGTGAAGCTTCAGAAGGGATACTGACCCAAACCATCATCGTAATTCCTACTATGGCAGCCCCTACATTCGACTATATTGCTACTTAAACCTTAAACCTTAAACCCGAACCATTCACCCTAAACCCTGAACCCGAACCATTAACCCTAAACCCTGAACCCGAACCATCAACCCTAAACCCTAAACCAAAAATTAACTTCACCCTAAACCCTAACCCCGAACCACTCCAGGAACCTTTGGGTAAGTCTTCTGTCTGGTGCTTAGTAGGGAATGGGGGAATGGGTTATAGGGACTACTATAAGGGACCTTAAGGGACTATCATAGGGATCCATTCCCACATTCCCTACTAAGCACCAGACGGTCTTCGGGCGCCTGGATCTTCAGGAGGCAGACGCGCTCTGCCCCGCAGCTCGCAGCATCGCAGCCATGCCGAGCCCAGGCCTTCGAGTTGGGTGGTTGTCAAAATTAGNNGTTTAGGGTTTAGGGTTGGGTCCTTATTATAATACGGCACCTATGATTTAGGGTACCCCAAAGGGGACCATAATTTTGACAATTACCCAGTTGGAGGTCGCCGGGGATCGGGGCTTAGGGTGCGGGGTTTAGGGTTCAGAGGTTTAGGGGTCTAGGGGTTTAGGGCTTAGGTTTTAGGGGGTTGGGGTTTAGGGTTTAGGGGTCTAGAGGGTTTGGGGTTTAGAGTTTAGGGGTCTAGGGGTTTAGGGCTTAGGTTTTAGGGGTTTGGGGTTTAGGGTTTAGGGTTTAGGGGTTAAAGGGGTTTGGGGCTTAGAGTTTAGGGGTCTAGGGGTTTAGGGCTTAGGGCTTAGGGTGCGGGGTTTAGGGTTTAGAGTTTAGGGGTCTAGGGGTTTAGGGCTTAGGGTGCGGGGTTTAGGGTTTAGAGGTTTAGGGGTCTAGGGGTTTAGGGCTTAGGGTGCAGGGTTTAGGGTTTATGGATTTAGAGGTTTTAGGGATTTAGGGGATGAGGGTTTAGGGGTTTAGGGGTTTACGGGTTTAGGGTGTGTCGCGGGAACTACAATGGTTGTGTGGAGTTTCGTTCTTATCGAGCTAACGGTCGCTTTGGGTAGAGGGTCGTCGATTGACCGACCTTTACGGAGATCCCAACCAAAAAGAACCTCGATCTACATGAAAGGATCTAGAGCTTTAGGCTTTAGGCTTTAGGCTTTAGGCTTTAGGCTTTAGGGTTTAGGGATTAAAGTTACCGAGGCTTCAATGCCAAGACCCTAAACCATAAACCTCTCTGAGCACCATGTATATAAACATAGAATATACAGAACTATACAAGCACCCGCAAAGCCCTTATTGACAAACCTACACAACCTTGAAAATTTTTAGCTATCCTGCGTCGAAGCCCGCGCCAAATCACCCGAAATCCAAAGCCCCGCAGCCTTACCTGCAGCACCTCTGTGCTGAATTTATGAGCATATCATAACATCATACCCTAAACCCCTACACCCCAAACCCCTAAACCCTAAATCCTAAACCTTACACCCTAAACCCTAAACCCCAAACCCTAAACCCTAAACCCTAAGCCCTAAACCCTAAACCCTAAACCCTAAACCCTATAAGCCCTAAACCCTACCGCTCCAAA